GACAGCGTGAGACTCCAACTAAAAAAAAAAAAAAAAAAAGAAGGGAATAGGAAACGCTACTCTTGGCGTCAGTCTGCTCGTCTGAAAAACGGGTGCACTGCCCATGCCTACCTCTTACGGTTATTGTGGGAGGATTAAAGCAGCCACACCTGCCAACATGCCCGGCTCATAGTAGGTGCTCAGTCAGCGTCAGCTGGTGTCATGGCCGTGTGCACGCACACCAGGGGCATGCCAGACCTCCCCCCGCCCCCACCTTCAGCACATGGGTTGTGCAGGAGATTCCTGTGGAGGCTGCGCAGGAAGTAGAAGATCTTCCAGTCGGCCACGGGCTGGTCCCAGTCCTCGGTGATGAAGCCTTCGCGCAGGCACTTGCGCTTCCAGACTGCACTCCAGTCTGGGCAACAGAATGAGACTTCAACTCAAAAAAAAAAAAAAAGAGAGAGACAGGGTCTTGTTCTGTGACCCAAACTGGAGAGCAGTGGCCCGATCACAGCTCACTGCAGTCTCCTGGGCTCAAATGATCCTTCTGCCTCGGCCTCCACAGTAACTGGGACTGCAAGCACACCATCACACTCAGCTCCCTCCTTTTGTTTTAGTTTTTTAAATTTTGGTAGAGACAGGGTCTCTCTATGTTGCCCAGACTGGTCTTGAACTTCTGGCCTCAAGCAATCCTCCCACTTCAGTCTTCCAAAGTGCCGGGATTGCAGGCATGAGTCACCATGCCTGGCCCCTCCACCTCCTTTTATTAAAGTCATTTTTCTCTTTCAGAGTGAAACTGACATGAGTTTTGTTGAGTTTCTTCTTCCAGTCAGGTTTTTGGGGGCAGAGAGGACAAGACAAAGGCTATTCAGTCATGCTGCCCTGAGGACTTTTTCTTTCTCTCTTTCTCTCTTTCTTTCTTTCTTCCTTTCTTTTTCGAGTAGGAGTCTCACTCTGTCACCCAGGGCTTGAGTGCAATGGCATGCTCGCAGCCACCACTATCTCCACCTCCTGGGTTTAGGCAATCCTTCTGCCTCAGCCTTCCAAGTAACTGGAACCACAGGCGTGCACCACCACACCTGGCTAATTTTTTGATTTCCTGTAGAGATGAGGTCTTGCCAAGTTGCCCAGGCTGGTCTCGAACCCCTGAACTCAGACAATCCTCTCACCTCCACCTCCCAAAGTGCTGGGATTACAGGCGTGAACCACAGTGCCCGGCCCCCTGAGGACTTTTCTAGAACTGGCATCACCCCCTGCACTAACAGCCGACAAATACAAAAGCAACTGTCAAAGGCAGCTATCACCTCGAATCTTATTAGGATCTTTGACTTGAGAATGGACCAGACAGCGGCTTGACGTCAAGTTTCTCTTTATTTCTGCATTTCTGCTCAGCCTTGGGCATTGCGTGTGGAGGAGCTCATATTGGACGGGGTATTGAGAAGCCAGCTGCATGAGCAAGAAGAAAAGCAACAGGCATGGGAAGCTGGGCGCTGCCCACCCCCTCCTCTCTCACTGGCTGAAAAATCCAAAGCCTTCATTTCCTCATCACTGTAAGGAGGCCGCTTTACTCACAGGATGGGGTGAGGGTGGCACAAGGGGGAGATTACAGAATTTGGCTCTCTCCAGCTTTTGGCCCAGAGCTTGTTCTCAGCGCTGTCTGTGGGAATGCCACGGGCTACTCAGACCCCCATATCAACCGCTTCTTTAAATATCGGCTTCTATTTCTCATCACCATACTGATTCTAGTTACTGCCAATACCCTATTCCAACTTTTCATCGGCTGAGAAGGCATTGGTATCATATCTTTCCTCCTCATCAGTTGATGGTACGGACGAATAGACGCAGACACAGCAGCCCCTCAAGCAATTCTCTACAATCGTATTGGGAGGCCGATGTCAACCACGTGCAAACTGGCACAAAGATTCCCTCCAACAACTCATGGCGTGATTCTGTGGGACCTGAATAGTCTAATGCAGAAAGTCCAGTTAGGAGACTTTGGTAGGACACTTATGTGTCCAGGGATGATAGTTTTGATGTTGAGAATAATGTTTTGGCAGGGAATGGAGGCTCACGCCTGCAATCCCAGCACTTTGGGAGGTGGAGGCGAGAGGATTGCCTGAGCCCAGGGGTTCGAGACCAGCCTGGGCAACTTGGTGAGACCTCATCTCTACAATAATCAAAAAATAGCCAGGCGTGATGGTACATGCCTGTGGTTCCAGCTACTTGCAAGGTTGAGGCGGAAGGCTCGCCTAAGCCCAGCAGGTCGAGGCTGCAGTGTCCATAAGCAGCATGCCACGGCACTCCAGTCTGGGTGGCAGAGTGAAACTCCTACTCAAAAATTAAAAAATAAAAAATAAAAATAAAATGATTTTTTTTTTCTTGGGTACAATATGGAGTCACTTGGAGCTGGAAGTTGGGGACC